GTGATCATAACTCCCATACCTTAACATAGACTTACGGTAGTCTTAGCACTAAGGTGATCATAACTCCAACACGTTAACATAGACTTACGGTAGTCTTAGCGCTAAGTTGACCATAATTCCCATACCTTAACATTGACTTACGGTAGTCTTAGCGCAAAGGTTAATGTAACTCCCATACCTTAACATTGACTTACGGCAGTCTTAGCACTAAGGTGATCATAACTCCAACACGTTAACATAAACTTACGGTAGTCTTAGCACTAAGTTGACCATAATTCCCATACCTTAACATTGACTTACGGAAGTCTTAGCGCTAAGGTGACCATAACTCCCATACCTTAACATTGACTCACGTAGTTTTAGCGCTAAGATGACCATAACTCCCATACCTTAACATAGACTTACGGTAGTCTTAGCGCTAAGGTGACCATAACTCCCATACCTTAACATAGATATACGGTAGTCTTAGCGCTAAGGTGACCATAACTCCCATACTTTAACATAGACTTACGGTAGTCTTAGCGCTAAGGTCACCATAACTCCAATACCTTAACATTGACTAAGGTAGTCTTAGCGCAAAGGTGACCCTAGCTCCCATACCTTAACATTGACTTACGGTAGTCTTAGCACAAAGGTGATCATAACTCCAACACGTTAACATAGACTTACGGTAGTCTTAGCGCAAAGGTGACCATAGCTCCCATACCTTAACATTGACCTACGGTAGTCTTAGCACTAAGGTGATCGTAACTCCAACACGTTAACATAGACTTACGGTAGTCTTAGCGCTAAGGTGATCATAACTCCCATACCTTAACATAGACATACGGTAGTCTTAGCGCTAAGGTGACCGTAACTCCCATACCTTAACATAGACTTACGGTAGTCTTAGCGCTAAGGTGATCATAACTCCCATACCTTGACATAAATATATGGTAGTCTTAGCGCAAAGGTGACCGTAACTCCCATACCTTAACATAGACTTACGGTAGTCTTTGCGCTAAGGTGACCGCAACTCCCATACCTGAACATTGACTAAGGTAGTCTTAGCGCAAAGGTGACCATAGCTCCCATACCTTAACATTGACTTACGGTAGTCTTAGCACTAAGGTGATCATAACTCCTACACGTTAACATAGACTTATGGTAGTCTTAGCGCTAAGGTGATCATAACTCCCATACCTTAACATAGACATTCGGTAGTCTTAGCGCTAAGGTGACCGTAACTCCCATACCTTAACATAGACTTACGGTAGTCTTAGCACTAAGGTGATCATAACTCCAACACGTTAACATAAACTTACGGGAGTCTTAGAGCTAAGTTGACCATAATTCCCATACCTTAACATTGACTTACGGTAGTCTTAGCGCTAAGGTGACCATAACTCCCATACCTTAACATTGACTCACGTAGTTTTAGCGCTAAGATGATCATAACTCCCATACCTTAACATAGACTTACGGTAGTCTTAGCGCTAAGGTGATCATAACTCCCATACCCTAGCATAAACTTGAGGTAGTCTTAGCGCAAAGGTCACCATAACTCCCATACCTTAACATTGACTCACGTAGTTTTAGCGCTAAGATGATCATAACTCCCATACCTTAACATAGACTTACGGTAGTCTTAGCGCTAAGGTGATCATAACTCCCATACCCTAGCATAAACTTGAGGTAGTCTTAGCGCAAAGGTCACCATAACTCCCATACCTTAACATAGACGTACGGTAGTCTTAGCGCTAAGGTGATCATAACTCCCATACCTTGACATAAATATATGGTAGTCTTAGCGCAAAGGTGACCGTAACTCCCATACCTTAACATAGACTTACGGTAGTCTTAGCGCTAAGGTGACCGCAACTCCCATACCTGAACATTGACTAAGGTAGTCTTAGCGCAAAGGTGACCATAGCTCCCATACCTTAACATTGACTTACGGTAGTCTTAGCACTAAGGTGATCATAACTCCTACACGTTAACATAGACTTATGGTAGTCTTAGCGCTAAGGTGATCATAACTCCCATACCTTAACATAGACATTCGGTAGTCTTAGCGCTAAGGTGACCGTAACTTCCATACCTTAACATAGACTTACGGTAGTCTTAGCACTAAGGTGATCATAACTCCAACACGTTAACATAAACTTACGGTAGTCTTAGAGCTAAGTTGACCATAATTCCCATACCTTAACATTGACTTACGGTAGTCTTAGCGCTAAGGTGACCATAACTCCCATACCTTAACATTGACTCACGTAGTTTTAGCGCTAAGATGATCATAACTCCCATACCTTAACATAGACTTACGGTAGTCTTAGCGCTAAGGTGATCATAACTCCCATACCCTAGCATAAACTTGAGGTAGTCTTAGCGCAAAGGTCACCATAACTCCCATACCTTAACATAGACGTACGGTAGTCTTAGCGCTAAGGTGATCATAACTCCCATACCTTAACATAGATATACGGTAGTCTTAGCGCTAAGGTGACCGTAACTCCCATACCTTAACATAGACTTACGGTAGTCTTAGCGCTAAGGTGACCGCAACTCCAATACCTTAACATTGACTACGGTAGTCTTAGCGCAAAGGTGACCATAGCTCCCATACCTTAACATTGACTTACGGTAGTCTTAGCACTAAGGTGATCATAACTCCAACACGTTAACATAGACTTACGGTAGTCTTAGCGCTAAGGTGATCATAACTCCCATACCTTAACATAGACATACGGTAGTCTTAGCGCTAAGGTGACCGTAACTCCCATACCTTAACATAGACTTACGGTAGTCTTAGCACTAAGGTGATCATAACTCCAACACGTTAACATAAACTTACGGTAGTCTTAGCGCTAAGGTGATCATAACTCCCATACCTTAACATAGACTTACGGTAGTCTTAGCACTAAGGTGATCATAACTCCAACACGTTAACATAGACTTACGGTAGTCTTAGCGCTAAGGTGACCATAACTCCCATACCTTAACATTGACTTACGGTAGTCTTAGCGCAAAGGTTACTGTAACTCCCATACCTTAACATTGACTTACGGTAGTCTTAGCGCTAAGGTGACCATAACTCCCATACCTGAACATTGACTCACGTAGTTTTAGCGCTAAGATGATCATAACTCCCAAACCTTAACATAGACTTACGGTAGTCTTCGCGCTAAGGTGATCATAACTCCCATACCTTAACATAGATATACGGTAGTCTTAGCGCTAAGGTGACCGTAACTCCCATACCTTAAGCTACAACAACGGTAGTCTTAGCGCTAAGGTGATCATAACTCCCATACCTTAACATGAACTTGAGGTAGTCTTATCGCAAAGGTGACCATAACTCCCATACATTAACATAAACTTGAGGTAGTCTTGGCGCTAAGGTGTCTGTAACTCCCATACCTTAACATTGACTAAGGTAGTCTTAGCGCAAAGGTGACTGTGACTCCCATACCTTAACATTGAATTACGGTAGTCTTAGCGCTAAGGTGATCATAACTCCCATACCCTAACATAAACTTGAGGTAGTCTTAGCGCAAAGGTCACCATAACTCCCATACCTTAACATAGACTTACGGTAGTCTTAGCACTAAGGTGATCATAACTCTAACACGTTAACATAGACTTACGGTAGTCTTAGCGCTAAGGTGATCATAACTCCCATACCTTAACATAGACTTACGGTAGTCTTAGCACTAAGGTGATCATAACTCCAACACGTTAACATAGACTTACGGTAGTCTTAGCGCTAAGTTGACCATAATTCCCATACCTTAACATTGACTTACGGTAGTCTTAGCGCTATGTTGACCATAACTCCCATACCTTAACATTGACTTACGGTAGTCTTAACGCTAAGGTGATCATAACTCCCATACCTTAACATAGATATACGGTAGTCTTAGCGCTAAGGTGACCGTAACTCCCATACCTTAACATAGACTTACGGTAGTCTTAGCGCTAAGGTGACCATAACTCCCATACCTTAACATTGAATTACGGTAGTCGTAGCGCTAAGGTGACCATAACTCCCATACCTTAACATTGACTAAGGTAGTCTTAGCGCAAAGGTGACCATAGCTCCCATACCTTAACATTGACTAAGGTAGTCTTAGCGCAAAGGTGATCGTAACTCCCATACCTTAACATTGAATTACGGTAGTTTTAGCGCTAAGGTGATCATAACTCCCATACCTTAACATAGACTTACGGTAGTCTTAGCGTATAGGTGACCATAACTCCCATACCTTAACATTGACTAAGGTAGTCTTAGCGCTAAGGTGGCCTTAACTCCCATACTTTAACATAGACTTACGGTAGTCTTAGCGCTAAGGTGACCGCAACTCCCATACTTTAACATAGACTTACGGTAGTCTTAGCGCTAAGGTGACCGCAACTCCCATACCTTAACATTGACTAAGGTAGTCTTAGCGCTTAGGTTGTTTTGCAGAACAGAACCCAGGTGATGGCGAAAAGATGGACGCATCGTGCCGTACTGGTTTCCCTTGTCACAAACACACGCAAAAGCAAGTCAAGTGTTCACCTGAGCAACTTCAACTTATTGTAGGGAATTCATTTGACGTCACTTTGGTCACCAAACCGGACACAAAGGACAGATCTTGGAGCTAAACCCAACCAGGGCCCACTTGCACCGTGTGATCCCAGCGCTAAAACTACTGTTAGCCTGTGACATTAAAGTATTATAGTTACTTTCATCCTTGTCCCGTGGAGATCCGGGTTAGAATCGGATGGTCAGACTCGCAGACATGGTGTCATGACACATGTCATCGTATCCCAATTTCGTAGAACGATGCTCATGCTTTTGTTCTTTCTCACTGGATTGTCTGGTCCAGACTCAATTACAGACCGCCGCCATATAGCTTGAATATTGCAGAGTGCAGCGTTAAGCAGCAAACCAAACTAAACAACCTTTCATCCTAACGCTAAGATCGGTTTGTACAAGCGGCTCCAGTCCGGTATGGAGACCGCATCATACTAACTTGTCGCAGTGCTCCTGATGAAATCGTGTTCCTCTTTAGTTGTAATCTTGGCAAGGTCTCCTCCCAACTGTTTGCACTTGGACTGAAAGGAATTGATCATATTGTTTCATGGTGATTTCATAACACAGTTTAGAAAAACAACAACAGTTTGAAAGTGTGGCTTCAGATGGATGCTACACACATATCTGCCAGTAGACAATTTGTTGAACTTTTAATAGCTACAGCTCGTTACGCAGAGATCCGATGATCCATGCAAGAACCAGACATGTTTATCCAATTCCAACAGAGAATGGGGATGCTGGGGTAGCCAACTGGTTAAAGTGTTCACTAAAGTCTCGCTTAAGACCCGGGATCGATTCCCTATGTGGTTACAATGTGTGAAGCCTATTTCAATAATTACTGCGACCTTGTGAAAGCAGCGTGGAACTATATTGTTCATTCTGTCAATCTGTTGCGCCAGTTGCGGGCATAGTTTACAGCTTTAGTGTTGTTTCAGTTTTACTACATGTGACGTCGTCAGCGTTCACTAACTCATCGAACAATTACTGAATCCGAAATGTGAAACTTACTCGGGCAGAGTCGTATGTTCCGGTGGTTGTTGAGAACCAGTAACAGGAAGGGCCATGTCTCACAAAGCTCGGGGGGACATTTCAGGCCTGTGGAAGCAAACAACGGGTGATATAGAAGCATATACGCGGTTCCCTCTCCAGTCTGTATACTGTGAAGCTGCAACCTCCGGAGACGTCGTATACACCTGTCTTGAGACACTCAATGTTATCATGCATGTAACCTCAATTACGATGTACAATATATACTTCAGCCGAATAATTGTCTCTTCTTTGTTTCATTCAGAGCCACCGTGACACCTGGCTCACAGGCAAATTGTAGCGCAAATAGGGTTGCGCAACAAAGAGAAAATTACCACTTTCAATATGCGCGCGAAGCGAGCAAAGGTTGGCAACGTGCTTCCCTCCGTTGAACCGGAAGCTGGCAGGGGTAATGGAGGCGAAGAACGATTTGACATGCCACAATTTGCGCTTAAAATGTTGAATTAAATATTTTATACGTGAGTAATTATTAGATATGAGTTTGAAAATCTGAGAGCACAACCCTCTGAGGAAATGGGTGCCTACGTTTGATGATAGCGATATTTTATTTTGATATTAAAATATTTTTCGAACAGAAGCGAAGGAAGCACGTTGCCACCCTTTGCTCGCTTCGCGCGCATATGTGAAGACTTGTCATTTTCTCTTTGTTGCGCAACCCTATTTGCGCTACAATTTGCCTGTGCCTGGATAGATACTGCTTTTGCCCGGACGCCGGGTTAAAACCGGTCTTCGGTAACCCATGCTGCAAGAGGCGACTAACGGGATCGTATCCCACAATTGCGTAAATCGATGCTCCTGTTGTTGATCACTGGATCGTTTGATCAGGACACAATTATTTATAGTGGCGGTGGGGTAGCCTAGAGGTTAAAACGACGACCCGGGTTCGATTCACCACATGGGTACAATACCCATTTCTGGTGTCCCCCGCCGTGATATTGCTGGAATATTGCCAAAAGCTGCGTTAAACCATATTCACTCACTCACTCGCTTATTTACAGATTGCTGGAATATTGATGAGAGTGGCAAAGGCCGCTTCTTGCCTTGACACGATACTTAGACAAGATAAGCACTTGAATACACTATGCTATTGAATACACAATGGTATTGAATATACAATGGTATTGAATACACAATGCTATTGAATACAGAATGCTATTGAATACACAGTGCTATTGAATACACTATGCTATTGAATACACAGTGCCATTGAATACACTATGCTATTGAATACACAATGCAATTAATTACACAATGGTATTGAACACACAATGCCATTGAATAAACAATGTTATTGAATACACAATGCCATTGAATACAAAATGTCATTGAATACACAATGCTATTGAATACACAATTCCATTGAATATACAATGCAATTGATTACAAAATACTATTGAATACACAATGCCATTGAAAACACAGTCATTGAATACACAATGCTATTGAATACACAACACCATTGAATACACAATGCTACTTAATACACAACGCCATTGAATACACAATGCTATTGAATACACAACACCATTGAATACACAATGCTATTGAATACACAACGCCATCGAATACATAATGCTATTGAATACACAATGCCATTGAATACACACTGCTATTGAATACACAATGCTATTGAATACACAGTGCCATTGAATACACAATGCTATTGAATACACAACGCCATCGAATACATAATGCTATTGAATACACAATGCCATTGAATACACACTGTCATTGAATACACAATGCTATTGAATACACAGTGCTATTGAATACACTATGCTATTGAATACACAGTGCCATTGAATACACTATGCTATTGAATACACAATGCAATTAATTACACAATGGTATTGAACACACAATGCCATTGAATAAACAATGTTATTGAATACACAATGCCATTGAATACAAAATGTCATTGAATACACAATGCTATTGAATACACAATTCCATTGAATATACAATGCAATTGATTACAAAATACTATTGAATACACAATGCCATTGAAAACACAGTCATTGAATACACAATGCTATTGAATACACAACGCCATCGAATACATAATGCTATTGAATACACAATGCCATTGAATACACACTGTCATTGAATACACAATGGTATTGAATACACAGTGCCATTGAATACACAATGCTATTGAATACACAACGCCATCGAATACATAATGCTATTGAATACACAATGCCATTGAATACACACTGCTATTGAATACACAATGCCATTGAATACACAGCGCCATTGAATACACAATGCTATTGAATACACAACGCCATCGAATACATAATGCTATTGAATACACACTGCTATTGAATACACACTGCTATTGAATACGTAACGCCATTGAAAACTCAATGCCTTTCAGAAAGTTGTCACATGCAACATCTGCTATATTTGAGATTACACTCAGTTGAGTACAGGTTCTGGTACTTACTGGGTTAAGTCCCGTTCAGGATTCGAACCCACACTCAACCAGTCCGGCACCTATTCGCGATGTCATGAAATCAGCGACCTAACCCACTGTCAATCTGACAACAGGTAGGCTAGATCACAACTTTGGTGTACCTCTCTGATAAGTAGAAATTGGCACAGCTCGCTTGGCCGAAGCAATAAATACACAATGCATTTTAGAAAACGGTCAAAATTTAGAAACATATGGTATATATGGGATTACACTTAATCACTCTCAGAGCGTGGGTTCGAATCTCAGATGAAACCCAACCCAAAGTTTCGGGAATCTGTGCTTGACTGACAAAGTGTAATACCCAATATATCATGTGTTGTAGATCAGTACAATACAAGTACAATACCTTGTACTGGCAAGCATGTACAGAACGCCATAGCAGTCAGCAGGAACACTCCGAGTCTGGCCATGGTGAAGCTGTCCGTTGGGTGATACTGCTCCCCCCGTTGTATATATCCATGTCAGGTGTGATTGCATCAGGTGATGTTGCTCCACCCGTTGTTTATATCCATGTCAGGTGTGGTTGCACCAGGTGTTGCTGTGACAGCAGAGTGCAGGTGTAAATCAATGCATGAGGTAGATGGTGTTAAACACATATTAACAAGGTTAAAACGGACAAATTATGTTCACCGCCATCTTCGTATAGAATCACGACTGTGGTGAGATAAAACTGAAGCTATATTTGAGTTTTGATTTGATTGCTGTTTCTTTTTAAAACAAAACAAAATAAATACATTTACATTTTCTATTTGGAGTAATCATTCATCAACCACCTTACTTTCCTATCCGTGAAGATCCGGGTTATAATTGGTCTTCAGCAGCCTGTTTGTCATAAGAGGCAGCAAAACAGATCGGGTGGTCATGCTCGCTGACTTGGTTGACACATGTCACCTTATCCCTGTTGTGTAGATCAAGGCTCATCCTGTTGATCATTGGATTGTCTAGTCCAGGCTCGAATATTTACAGACCGCCGCCATATAGCTGGAATATTGCTGAGTGCGGCGTAAAACAACAAACTAACAAACTAACATCAAGTTCCGGCTCTGTATGACACGCACCAAGCCAGACATTAGAACTGCCTATCTCTGAAGAAGGGACATCTGACAAGGACGACAGTCTACCTCCTCCTGGAGGTACTGGTGAAGTCGTCGATTGCTGGAGAGGTTTTTGGTCATGCATGGGTCATGGGACTGCGTCTTACCAGACGCATTAGAACTCGGTCATCACAGTCATTGTTCCTCCTCGGTCTTCCACATTTTGGACGATTCTTTACTTGGCCACATGCTTCCTCCCCAGTCGACTAATAACTGTGTGGTTAATGTCCAAGTTACAGTCACGTTGCGCCAGGACACCCTGTGTCTGTGTCATCCTGGAACGTTTGTTTTTAGCTATGTCGAGTTTTTTTTTTAATCAGTTAAACAGAAAACTGTACTCACAGACTACATACAAATGTGAAATTTATATCCCAATGTGATTGGTGCATTGGCGGCACGTGAACATGGCGCATATAGCTTTGGAGATATTGTGTGAAGCACGTGCGTTACACGTGCATACCAATTTGTCTAGGGTATGGCCGTCTGTCTGGACCATTTTTTTTTAAATTGCCCGTGCAGTTTGGTTGTGCTTGGTTGCCCTGTGTATATATTAGTACATGACTTCATGGAAGTCGCGCTGGCTGAGCGTGTTTGGCGGCTGACTTTGTGTGCTGGCGATTAGGTGCCTGACTCTGAGAGTGTGGGTTCGAATCCCGGATCGGACTGAACCCAACAAGAGTACCATAATCTGTACTTTGCAAAGAAAGCGTAATCCCAAATATTACATATGTTACATTTGCCCACTTTCTAAATGGCATTGTGTAATCAATCGCACACGACTCCAGATTAGCTCAAGATAGCTGAGGGATATATCAGTTGTACCTTGAAGACACAGGTGTGACACCATGTGACACCAGGTGCCATGATAAGATTAGTTCAGCTGTATGTCATGTACATGTGTTCAAATGTACTATTAAAAAACTGGGGATATTTGTGAAAAAAATGGTGTCATAACTATTGGTATTTCAGATCAAGTAACGTATCAGAGGATTCCATGTTAAACAAGTTGTAGTATATTGAACTATACCTATACAATTCCACTGTGGATCACCAGCAACGAAACTCAACTTTTCAACGAATTCAGCATGCTCCTACTAAATTATGAAACCATTATGTATATTATCCATCCATTTGAAGATGTAGAAATCACATGCAGTCATCATTAAATTGCAGTACAAATATTGGGTTATACATTATATTTGTCAGACTGTGTACCTAGGGCTCCCTGTGGAGGGTAGAGCTGTGGCAGATGGGCCTCGCACCTGTATTACTTATCTGCAAGCTGCCCATAGCGTGAACATATCTTATCTGTTCCTGACCAGTTTATGGTTTATTTTGACAGGTTTTATGGTGATGAAACGTTATGTTTACTGACGACACTGGCCGTCAACAGCGAAAGCGGATCTCATCACCACGCACAATGCTTGGGGCTATCGCGTAAAACACAGCTGGTGTGAGGTGAGGTGAAATTGGGTTTAACGTCGTGCTTGAGAATATTTCGCTCATATGACGACGTGCATGCGTGTGTATGTGTATGTGCGGCTGCTTGTACTAGCCAAGACTTAAGCTGGTTTTATAGTGCTAGCCCACTGAGATACCATGCCGCTGTGAAGCATGAATATCCCGCTCAGACACATTATACAGACCCCGAGCCGACCAGTCCTTGTTGTACCCATTAATGCCGAGCGCCAGGCAGGGACCAACAAGTACCATATTTTAACGTCTTTTGGTATGACGCGGCCGGGAATCGAACCCGCGACCTTCCGCTCTCCGGGCGGACGCTCTAACCACTACACCACGGAGGCGGTCACACAGCTGGTATGAGTGAGTGAGTGAGTGAGTGAGTGAGCGTGTTTGTAAGTGAGTGGGTATGCGTGGACAGAGATACCCATCTCTCTGACACATGACTCGGAATTTGTTTGGCCGATACCTTCTTTTCATTCATTTGTAGATTGTTTAACTCTCCATTCACCTGTATAAATTATATACATTATGTCTGTATGTTGTGGAGGTGGGCCACACAACTCAGTCTTATTCACTTGTAGATTGTTTAACTCTGCTTTCAGATGACATATGTCTGGATATAGTCAATATGAGCCACACCAGCCTGTATGGGCTTCACACATTGTACCCATGTGGGGATTCAAACCCGGGTCTTCGGTGTGAAGTAGGGAAGATGAATCGGCCCAGGATATGTGTTCGGAAGGTTTAGTCTCGACTATTTAGTCCTTAGTAAATAATGTGTGTACATAAATTTGATAACAATCATGACGACATGCTTTATGTATGGGCATAACATACACTTATTTGGTGAGAAAATTCATTTCTTCCTCTTGAGAACATGCAGTTACTCGTTGCGAGAACATACAGTTCCTAGTTGCCAGAACATACAGTTACTCGTTGCGAAAACATACAGTTACTAGTTGCAAGAACATACAGTTACTAGTTGCGAGAACATACAATTACTAGTTGCGAGAACATACTATTACTAGTTGTGAGAACATACAATTACTCGTTGCGAGAACATACAGTTACTAGTTGCGAGAACATACAGTTACTAGTTGCGAGAACATACAATTACTAGTTGCAAGAACATAAAGTTACTAATTGCGAGAACATACAGTTACTAGTTGCGAGAACATACAGTTACTAGTTGCAAGAACATACAGTTACTAGTTGCAAGAACATACAGTTACTAGTTGCGTGAACATACAGTTACTAGTTGCCAGAACATACAGTTACTAGTTGCAAGAACATACAGTTACTAGTTGCGAGAACCTACAGTTACTGGTTGCGAGAACATACAGTTACAAGTTGCTAGAACATACAGTTACTAGCTGCGAGAACATACAGTTCCTAGCTGCAAGAACATACAGTCACTAGTTGCGTGAACATACAGTTACTAGTTGCAAGAACATACAGTTACTAGTTGCGAGAACATACAGTTACTAGTTGCGCGAACATACAGTTACTAGTTGCGAGAACGTACAGTTCCTAGTTGCGAGAACATACAGTTACTAGTTGCTAGAACATACAGTTCCTAGCTGCAAGAACATACAGTTACTAGCTGCGAGAACATACAGTTACTAGTTGCAAGAACATACAGTTACTAGTTGCGAGAACATACAGTTACTAGTTGCGAGAACATACAGTTACTAGTTGCAAGAACATACAGTTACTAGTTGCGAGAACGTACAGTTACTAGTTGCGAGAACATACAGTTACTAGATGCGGGAACATACAGTTACTAGCTGCGAGAACATACAGTTCCTAGCTGCAAGAACATACAGTTACTAGTTGCGTGAACATACAGTTACTAGTTGCGTGAACATACAGTTACTAGTTGCGAGAACGTAAAGTTCCTAGTTGCGAGAACATACAGTTACTAGTTGCGAGAACATACAGTTACTAGTTGCAAGAACATACAGTTACTAGTTGCGAGAACGTACAGTTACTAGTTGCGAGAACATACAGTTACTAGATGCGGGAACATACAGTTACTAGTTGCGAGAACATACAGTTCCTAGCTGCAAGAACATACAGTTACTAGTTGCGTGAACATACAGTTACTAGTTGCGTGAACATACAGTTACTAGTTGCGAGAACGTACAGTTCCTAGTTGCGAGAACATACAGTTACTAGTTGCAAGAACATACAGTTACTAGTTGCAAGAACATAAAGTTACTAGTTGCAAGAACGTACAGTTCCTAGTTGCGAGAACATACAGTTACTAGTTGCTAGAACATACAGTTCCTAGCTGCAAGAACATACAGTTACTAGTTGCGAGAACATACAGTTACTAGTTGCGAGAACATACAGTTCCTAGCTGCAAGAACATACAGTTACTAGTTGCGTGAACATACAGTTACTAGTTGCGCGAACATACAGTTACTAGTTGCGAGAACGTACAGTTCCTAGTTGCGAGAACATACAGTTACTAGTTGCTAGAACATACAGTTCCTAGCTGCAAGAACATACAGTTACTAGCTGCAAGAACATACAGTTACTAGTTGCGTGAACATACAGTTACTAGTTGCGTGAACATACAGTTACTAGTTGCGAGAACATACAGTTACTAGTTGCGTGAACATACAGTTACTAGTTGCTAGAACATACAGTTCCTAGCTGCAAGAACATACAGTTACTAGTTGCGAGAACGTATAGTTACTAGTTGCGAGAACATACAGTTACTAGTTGCGAGAACATACAGTTACTAGTTGCAAGAACATACAGTTACTAGTTGCGAGAACATACAGTTACTAGTTGCAAGAACATACAGTTACTAGTTGCGAGAACGTACAGTTACTAGTTGCGAGAACATTACTAGTTGCGAGACAGTTACTAGATGCGGGAACATACAGTTACTAGTTGCGAGAAC